TGGCTACGCAGCAGGGGGCGGGGCAATCGATACACCCTCGCTCCACGCACTAAGCGCACGCAATGCGTTTATAACACAATGAAACAATGACGACCACCGCAGGAAGGAGGCGAACGGTACGGGACTACCCTAACGGGACTAAACACACGACGTGCTGGTCTGGGATCGCGCCTTCTACTTCCGAATGTGTAGCTATCGTTCCGCGCGAACGGTGATTAGTAATGGCCAAGAGCATGATATCTCGAGTCGATATCTGGCGATATCTGTTTACAAGTTTATGTCACCATCTCTCTCTCTCTCTCACGTAATCCACGGTTCGTTGCGCTTGGCGCGATACCGCGCTCCGGATTGATGGATTTGTCGGGATAACTCAATTCTCTGTCTTTCCGTTCTTTATATTAGAATCAGAAATGCATTGCGGTCTGTTGGATTGCGTTCAGTATTGAGCATTAATCAGTTGAAGTTTTCTTTGGCTAAAGTAATCGGCAAATCGATCATCAAAATAAATCAATCGTTATGTCACAAATAACTTCATTGAATCATTGGTGAAACTCATTATCAATCAAACTTTGTGATAGATTGCACTCTGATTAATAACTAATCAGAGAATCCTAAACATCAGAAAGTTATGTGAGCTCTAAACGTGGATAAATTTTTATTTGTTCATACCTTCGGAAAAATGGTCGAAATTGAACCCTTTTTCTTTAAGTTGATATAGAAAATCGAGGAATATGAATCTATTAATGTTTCTGCGATTCAATAAAGTTGAAGAAAGTTATAATGAAAAAATAAAATAAATGTTTTTAAGAGCGGTAACGTTTGAGAAGTTGATGGATAAACCTTACACTCACATTTAGGATTTGAAGGTTGATTTCATTAATCGATTGAATTATTTACATATATGACGATTGGCCGTGTGTGTATGATTTTGCTTATTGATTGGCTGATTATTTTAGTCGAGGAAAATCTTAATCGATTAATGCCTATCATTGGGACTGCTCATCGTGGCATTATACATCTTTCTTTCGCCTGAAAAGGGCCCAAACGCTCAGTTAATTCTTGTATTAATGTTTCTGCGATTCAATAAAGTTGAAGAAAGTTATAATGAAAAAATAAAACATATGTTTTTAAGAGCGGTAACGTTTGAGAAGTTGGTGAATAAACCTTACACTCACATTTAGGATTTGAAGGTTGATTTCATCAATCGATTGAATTATTCACATATATGACGATTGGCCGTGTGTGTATGATTTTGTTTATTGATTGGCCGGTTATTTTGGTCGAGGAAAATCTTAATCGATTAATGCCTATCACTGGGACTGCTCATCGTGGCATTATACATCTTTCTTTCGCCTGAAAAGGGCCCAAACGCTCAGTTAATTCTAAGGACACGCTGGTCCATGCCGCGAGGATTGACACACTTTGGTCTATTTTGCTACACTTTTAGGAAGCGTGAAATAAAGGGCACGGCCGAGCGAATCAGTTGATTCGAAGACAGAAATAGAGAAACCTGCTCCAAGAGAGCGAGCTATTATCGTCCTGACCTCGCGCGCCATTCACGCGCTAGTTGATCGTAGAGTTTTCGGGCTCGCATGGCATAAAAGTCGCGGCGAGGAGCACCGCGACGACCTCTTTTTCCCCCCTTTTTCTCGAGGCGCGAAAGATTTTCTTCGTTTCTTCCTCTTTTTCTCAAGTCGCTTCATCACGCGGCGAACGCCACAACAATACGACGCTACGTGGCGGACAATGAAAGGGAACCATCTGAAAACTTCATTCGGACAATGAGCTCTCGAGTGTATCATTCGGTCGTTTATGAGTTTGCGCTCGTTTATCATTCGACCGGCCGGCATTTTTCATCGTTCCGCCTCAACGGCTGGCGATTTCCGACATCTTTCATTGATCGTTTCGTAAGAAACCGCGCCCTGTCACTCAATAGCCCCGTCAATTGATACTTGATCCACTTTACTTCTAAACCTAACTCAAAGTGAATGATCCCTTTATCGTGATAGATAACGTTATTAATAAGCACGTGAAACAAGTACATGGTACTCGTGTATGCAGAACCGGATAATGTAACGCGAAATGTGTTTCGCGTCGACCAAGCGAGAGCCGCACGGCGACTTCCGACGAGCGAGGGTAGTGACGATTTTTTGGGAAGCGGGGACAGAAAAGAAATGATTAGATATTACATTGGACAGAGCACGCTGGCACTCGAGAAATGCCATAATTCAAGGGATACGTTTCTGACACTCGCGGCTAGCCCGCTCTCGCCGTAGGGCACCAGCCGTGCACCTGTGCAGGTAGACTGGTGGAGTCTCTTCTTGGAATTCGCTGCAAGGAAGGCTCCAACCTGTCTGCTGGCATCAGGATCATCAGGATTGTCAGTTTTGTCTAGGCGACTTGGTGGGAGACGCCCTTAATTACTTTTTGGCTGAAATATCCAAGTTTACCTGCCGGTACTACGGCATCCCCGGCATCTCTGTATTTGTGTTGTCTCGGCCGTCAGATCTGAGGGATAGAGCATTCCTTCGCGCGGTAATCGGGAGGAAAAGTGATTACGAGAAAGTGTAAATTTCCATCAAAAAATAGGAAAAAGGGCAATTCGAGTTCAAGCACAGGACTAATAGTGCTATGTACCATATGGGTAAAAAACCTTCCTTGTGTTAGGAAATCGTGTAATATTTATTGAACATGAATAATCAATATAAAACAATCATACGTTTCGGCTCAACCATGAACCCTCTTCAGTGATAATAAAAAACTCAAGGTTTACGACACGAACGCATTACAATTAGTTAAAGACCTGCGTAACTTGACATGAATGTTAATCGCAATATTAAAGCTGTATAAAGACAGGTTGCCTCTTGGTTTCCATAATAACGTTGTATATAGGTTGCAATGCAGTGGTTGTGATGCGTCTTATGTTGGTTAAATTAGTAGAAGACTCTCTACACATTTTGCCAAATATAGGAGAATTCCTAGGAGTTCTACGGTGGAGTTAACGGCCATACAGGAACATTGTTTGAGGAAGAACCATGATTTTGATTGGGATCATGCCAAAGTTTTACATAAGGAACGCTTTTACCTAAAACGCCTGATCTCAGAAATGATTTTCATCAAATTTCAGAAGCATGGTCTTAACTCACAAAAGGATACTGAATATTGGGGCACCAGCTACTGCGGCTTGTTATGAAAGTAAACTTTGTTTTGGTTTCCTTCTCTTCCACAAGTCGTTTCCGCAATATTAATGCTAGGTATATAAATCTGTAATTATTTGTATTTCGTAGACGTGGCGATGTTATCGTTGACAGGATCGGTTTACTTTTAGCTGAACTCAACAAAGATATTTTATATTGTCAGTTTTAATTATTTATTTCAATTATACTTATATTTTTTTATTTTATTTTATGATTTTTATAGTTATGACGGCTACTTCTCAATATTAATTAACTACTTAATATTATTTCGGTAACGGTCTTGTCAGCTTTAATATTGCGATTAACATTCATGTCAAGTTACGCTTTAACTAATTGTAATGCGTTCGTGTCGTAAACCTTGAGTTTTTTATTATCACTGAAGAGGGTTCATGGTTGAGCCGAAACGTATGATTGTTTTATATTGATTATTCATGTTCAATAAATATTACACGATTTCCTAACACAAGGAAGGTTTTTTACCCATATGGTATATAGCACTATTAGTTCTGTGCTTGAACTCGAATTGCCCTTTTTCCTATTTTTTGATTAATATCTTCGTTTGCGAGTTCTTATTTCTTTCTCTAAATATGTAAATTCCCATGTGGCGGAGGAAGGAATTCTATCTTTCTCGAGCAGCGCGCGGATGTCGCGATTGACGTCGCGTATCTTCGTCGTTAAAACACGGCCGCGCATCAATATCCCGGCATAATTTCGCCGCAGTTACCGTCGCAGTACAAATTCCGCGTGACATTAGGAATTGCATTAATTCCGGCCCCGCCGTAAGAAAGACACCGTGCGAATGATATCGATCGGGAGCACGCGTCGTGTGTGGTCAGATCGCATTGCGATCCGCGCCTGGGACATTCATTTCAAGCGTCATCGTCTCATAAATCAAGCCCGGGACGAAACCGAGCGATACCTTCGCGGCAACTTCATCGCCCGTCCTCGTCATTTTCCGCGGCGACGCGCGACCAGATGCACGCGAATGAATATAAGGATGGATTAACCTTCTCCCGGAGAGAGAAGCGATTCGTGTCTCTTCGCATTTTCATTGCCAGCGACGAATATTCGCGAGTCACATTCGCGTCGCAGCATCCGCGACCACCGCGCGCGCAGTACGAACTCACCGAAAATTCGCCATGCCAATCGAGCTCGATATCCGATTGCGAAATCGAAAAAGCGTATATCACAGGCGCACAGGGGGAGTTAATCTTGACGCGTGAGAGAGAGAGAGAGAGAGAGAGAGAGAGAGAGAGAGAGAGCTCGCATCGGCGGGCCCATTATCGATGACAATGCATCCGCAGAACGGTGCTGCGGCTCTCCCGCGAGGGAACCCACCACCTGTGCACGTGGTGCGAGAGGAGACGAGAGGCAGACCGGCAAACCGGCAGGCAGGCAGGCAGGCAGGCAGGCAGCCAGCCAGCCAGCCAGCCGGTCGGCCGGGGCAGGCGCGGACATACAGGCCGCGAGAGTGACGGATGGCCACATCGCATTTCGCGGCTCCATATCTTCCCGATTTCGCGGGTGTAATTCCCGTAAAGTCGTTTCGGGGCCCTGTTTCGCCGGTATAGCCGCCGCGTGTGTAAGCATACCACGGCCTTTCTCTCTCTCTCTCTCTCTCTCACATACACACACACACACACACACTCTCTCACTCACTCTCTCGCTCTCCTCATCGCGCGTTCGTCCGGCCTCTCTCTTGTCTCCTCTCCTCTCCCTCCTCTTTTCCTCTCTCCCGCTCCTGCCACCCGTTCTCCTCAGCCGTCTATTTTCTTTTCCCTTGATTTCTGTCCGTTGTTCCAGGTTTTTTTATTGCCGGCGTGCATACCATTAGCCGCCGAACGTTAACAGCCCCAACGACCTCTAGCTCCGCTGGTAATTACCGGATCATAGCCGAAAAGCTTCTCGGGCCTCTCCAGGGACCCGCGCGACCGTCGGCCGCTGACCTTCGTCGTGGGAACGCGGGACAGAAGAAGCGGCGGTGAGTGAATACCACATTTCGCTATGATTATTCGCGCGACTCAGCGCGATTCGTCAACCTGGCCGCGAATTCTTTCGATAATAACTTTCACGCGACGGAGCGCCCGAGCGAGACAGCTTAGGAAATATAATGATAGTAACAGCAATTATCACAATAACATATATTTCTTTTGAATCATAATAACATATATTTCTTGTGAATGCAAACGTCAAGGACGAGACGGGTCGTGATCATTTCGGAAGAACACGTTGCTGTGGAGCGTCGCGCCGAAAATCGACGTGCGTGAAGCTTTCTCGAGTGTTTCTCTCGATTAGCTAATCATTTTTAGATTCGAAGGAAGATTCTGAGATTCGGAAGTGCAAGAGTATCGACTCGCGATCTCGATCATCGAGAATTTCTTAGCGCGCGCGCGAGAATCTCTTTTCATTCTCCTTCTCTCTCTCTCTCTCTCTCTTTCTCTCTACCGCTTTGCGCAACAAAAAGTGATTAATTACACTTCTCGGGAGTCCGGTGGCTCGTTGTTTCCCCAAGCCCGACGGTGAGCATCGTTTCGGCAACAATGTGGCCCGCTCCTCGGCAACGTCTCGTGCAACGCAACCTCGGCCAGGTCCTCTCGTCCGCGGTCCTCTCTCTCTCTCCCACTCTCTCTTTCTCTCTCTCTCTCTCGAGCAAGCGAGGAGAATCGATCCTGCCCTCGGCATTGTGTCCCCTTTTGTCCGACCATGCCGCGAAATATTGCCGGGGAGAACTTTCCGTCGACTCGTGACCCCACCTCCACCCATCGCCCCGGCGTTCATCCCTTCGCGTCGCCGCGCGCTCTTGCCGCTTCTCCGGGACACGCACCTTGCACCGTGCGAGCATCGACGCGACGAGATCTTAATGACATCACGATTCCTGCGGGATTATTTATGGTCGCGCCGATCCCGGCACCGATCGCTCAATCTTGTTCCCGAGACGTCGGGGATGGCCGCGCGTCGGGGCCGGTTTGATATCGTTCGAGCTTCCCTCCGACGGCCTCCGACGTGTCTGACGTGGACATTAGAACGGCGTACGCGATCCCGTATTACCGGACCTTCAAATCGCAAAAGTGGCTCGTCGATATTGATCGATAGGATACCCGGTGAGTCGATGATAATGTGTCACTGTTCAACGCACGGTGTCTACGACTGATCTCGCGTCGATACTTCATCCGTGGAAATTTATAACGGGACGCCATTTATTTTAACGGTATCCTGACTTTGAGGTACGCTTGTGTTGCCTCGGTTTATATCCGGGCGATTATTTCATTACTGCGTACCTCGTTACGAGCGCCATGTCCGTACGTTACGGCGTATACTTGGCATGTACGTATAATTAATTCATTCGAGATACTCAATGAAGATATTTCGGTCAATGAGTCAATAGGGTTCGTTCCTTACGCGGCGGACTCGACTAACCGACCCTCTGTACAAACTCATAATTAGACCCCAGGGGCTGCTTCTGACACGTTCATCCCTCGCTTCTCCGGCCCATATATACGATGATCATACGGGTGGGCCGATCGTTTCGCGCAACTTCGCGCATGAATTCGTCCGCTATCGTTCGTAAAGATATATAACCGGCGCTATCGTGCCGCTTATACTTCCATTCATACACACGCTATTCGATATTAACAATTTCACCGAAGCGAAGCTCACTGATTGATAAAGTTAGACGAGCACGTGTTATCCCTTAAACCCAAAATCTTTTTATCTTTCTTAATTTCACGTCTTTACACACAAAAAACCAGATTCTCGCGCGTGCGCCAAGAAATTCTCGATGATCGAGATCGCGAGTCGATACTCTTGCACTTCCGGATCTCAAAATTTTCCTTCGAATCTAAAAATGATTAGCTAATCGAGAGAAACACTCGAGAAAGCTTCACGCACGTCGATTTTCGGCGCGACGCTCCACAGCAACGTGTTCTTCCGAAATAATCACGACCCGTTTCGTCCTTGACGTTTGCATTCATAAGTAATATATTTTATTTTAGTAGTTATTATGATTATGTTATTATGACAAGAAATATATGTTATTGTGATAATTGCTGTTACTATCATTATATTTCCTAAGCTGTCTCGCTCGGACGCTCCGTCGCGTGAAAGTTATTATCGAAAGAATTCGCGGCCAGGTTGACGAATCGCGTTGGTTGGTGAATTGAGTTGGTGTTTATAACTATGATCACGTAGAGAAGTAGTTGCTAGAAATTATGGCCAAGCAAGCCAATTTTAATTGAATTTTATGCGATGGTACAGCGACGGGGATAAGCAAACTGCTGGCTACGAGATCGCATACATCAATTGAATAATGAATTATAGTGCAGGAGATCGTAAATGTAAGGATTGATATGTAGATAATAATAGGTCAAGCAACACAAATGCAGCACGTAGCAAAGGTAAATCTTGAGTCAGCTCGTGTGTTGGTAAGATGGTGAAATATGATCGTATACACGAAACCAAGGCAAAAATTCTGAATACGTTGAATACGATGAAAAAGTTGTTGACTTAAACAAAGAATATACGCAAGGTCTGCGTGATCAAAGAGGGAGATAATGAGGGAACTAGGTGCAAGGAATTTTTGAGGAGTGGATAGAACATATGACGAAAGCATATGGATAGAAAACATAACGAGATAAAGCCAATATTGCTTGACACGCTTTAATATTTTCAAGACCTTTACACGATCATACGGCGACATTTCATCGCGAACGAGGCGACGCTTGTTTTTATCCATTTATTTATTTATTTTTTTTTATCCAAGACGGTCGCGGTAGTAAAAGTTATAGTGGCTCGGCAGGAATGCGTGGACCACAAATTAATTTGATAGTAGATTGTCTCTCGGTGCGTAGGAGATTCCTTGCTTCGGCGCGTAATATAAACGGCGGGAGTTTACGATTTACCATATTTCAGTTGCCGTACGAATCTCCGCGGTAAAAGCGACTCGGTAATTGCGCAGTTCTCACCGGCGAGGGTTGGGCGATAAACCGCTTGGTTTAAGAATAGTTTGGCGGTAACGAGCCTCGCGGCTTTACCTGTCTTCATCCCGCCGAAATGTCCCGCTAGTATACAACCTCGACCGATACCTCCGTCGTACGTAAAGCGTTCCCTAATTCTTCCACGTAACGCGCGTCATCGTCGTAAAATGACGACTTAATCGAGTACGTCTTAAATACTCCCAGTAACATTGAGTATGATGTCTCGCGGAAATTATGATCGATGTTTAAAAGCGACTCGCGCGAGACAACGTCGTCCAGCTTCAACGGCACGCTTACGGTGTCGTATCATGCGAGTGAAAAACGCAAATATGCGATGCAAGTGAACGAATCATACGTTGCGACGTTCGGGACGTCCGTCATTGTCTCGGGAGAATTTCCACGGAGATCGCGAAGCGACGCGCGCGGTGCGACGACGGAGAGATTATCGTAAATAATTTCGCAAACAATCACAAACGCCTCCCCGTCCGTTTCGCGCGACAGCGCGTTCGACCGCATCCAGGCGCGAATTCACTACCCATGAACAAAGACGGGCCCCTATCGTCGCGCAACGACGACAGAACCCACAGTAACTCACAGCCCATGGATTTCCGATGCTCCCACGCAGAAATCTACTGGCCACGCGTTATAATGTTACGAGCGCGCGTGCGCTTCGACGCGCGAACGTTTCACCTTTTGAGCACGTCCGTCCAGACGACGACCTGCGTCTTAACCTTCTCCTTGGCTTCCCGATTCAGCATCCTGCTGCTTCGTCTTAGACATTTCGAAAAGTATCTCGTGCCACTGACACATGCGCGATGTGCTCGAAAAAACGCGCGTCAAACAATGCGCCCAGATAGACTTTCGTGATTATCAGGACGTGAGACAGTCGATGACAGAGAGAGAGACTCTGCAATTTTTTTAATCACACTTGTGAGGCAAATGTGTTTCATCAAACTATAATCATTAAATTTACGTCATACAATGTATATCTTTTGTCACATTGATGCAAGAACAAATATATTAACAATTACATACAGATCTTTATATTACATTTTAATGTATTGTTTGAAGCAAATTTTCATTATTTTCTTTGTATTTCTATCTCGAGTCATTTTGTGTGTCAAATATGATTGCCATATAATTCATTCATAATGGATATAACTTTTAAAAATCAATCAGTAAAGTTTCTTTTAAGTGATGTTGATGAGAGCTTGAAATTGAATATTTCGTTGATCGAGATACGAAACATTGTAATTAACGTATTAATACACATATTCCGCGTCGCGGTACATGTCGGCTCGAATCTTAAAAATTCACAAGTAAACCTACTCAAAAGTCCGACTTCTTTTTAATTTGGTACAAATATAGAAGTATTTAGGTCATATTTTTTTCATTTTAGCCCACTTTGAGTTTCACAGGCAGTTTGTAGCTTTTTAATGTTCTCATTCCTCTATCATCAATAAGTGCAACAAAAATGCATAAGAAATAAAATTGAATACAAGATATAGGCGTTTTTGATTTGCTGATTATGAATATGAAGTCAAATGTATAAAATTATTTGTATAAATAATAAAAATATTTAAACAAAACCTGTAAAAAGTTGAAAAAAATTATTTATACAAATAATTTCTCGGTTTAATTGAGATTCAAACCATTTTTTACTAATTTAGCACAGATTTAAAATATTTCGGTTGGAATCTTGGCTAAAGAAATTTAGAACGGTTCCTGTCTCAGCTATCCCGGTTTTGTTAAAATATTAATTAAAATTGCCGCGTTTCTCGGTTTGGTCGAGATTTGAACCATTTTTGAATAATTTAGAACCGATTTAAAATGATGCGGTTGGAATCTCGGCTACAGAAATTTAGAATGGTTCGTATCTCAGCTATGCCGATTATGTTAAAATTTTAATTAAAATTGCCAGATTTCTCTCCCTCTCGGTTTGACCGAGATTCGAACCATTTTTGAATAATTTAGAACAGATTTAAAATGATTCGGTTGGAATCTCGGC